AATGTAATTAATGTATATAATGTAAAGAATAATGTAATTATTCATTTGAGTGATTTATTTTTTAAGATGTTTGTTAACTTTTTATTATTTTTTATTATTATTATTATTTAGGTAATAAATGTGTTTTGTATTTTGGTTGTGTATTCATTTTATTGCTTTGCATCAATCTGATTCACATAGTTTTTTTTAATATATATATATATATATATATGTATGTGTTGAATGTATCCCCTGTGAATATTAAATAAATAAATAAAAAATGCTCTGTCATACCACAAGAAAACAAACGGTGCTAATTTACACGCACAACGTGGCTTTATCTCCATACCAAAAGTCCACTGTCCAGATGGCCAGACAGTGATTCATCTTGTGTAAATCGTTAAAATATTTGTATCTGTGATGCCATAAGCACAGTGTACACTGTAAGTTTTTTAAAAGTTTAGCTTAAATGTGTAATATGAATAAATAGTGCTCATAAACGGCCGTCGAGATGGTATTCTCAATTGAAACGAGTGGAGGCTTGGACCCGGAAACGGCGTTCCTTACGTCACGACTTAACAAGCGGATAAGTTCTTGTCAACAGAGGGCACCAGTGTTGTTATTGTTAACTAAAACTAAAACTTAAAAAAACTTTTTAAAAATTGTTAATAGAAATTAAGCTGAAATAAAATAAATTGAATGAAACTGAAGTTAGTAAAGTTCAAGTACTAAAATTACTAACTGAAATAAAACTAAAATTTAAATAAAAATAGGAATTAAGAATAAAAATAAAAAATTATAAAAATGTCAAAAGCACATAAAATTACTAAAAAAAAATAAAAATACAAATTAAAAAAATACAAAATAAAAATAATAAGCTAATTCAAAATAATAATAATATTATATAAACATGGGGCTGGACGATATGGCCAAAATTGATATCACGATATATTTCTTAATTTCGGTCGATACGATATAATTCCGAACCCGATTACACTCATCAGCTTGTTAGTAGAGACTGCATGAACTAAATTGGGTGTGTTTGATAAGGGAGACATACAAACTGTGCAGGGCAGGGGGTCCTCCAGGACAGCTTTGAAAACCTTTGGGTTAGATAGTGTATGTGGTATGTTATTTTTTTAAATATAGAGCATTAACCTTTCAGCGCCACCCACCGCAATACGTATAACAAACAACATAAGAAATGTTGCCAGATTTACATTAATCTTTTTCAAATAAAACTGAAAACGCTTTTATTGCCACCCTCTGGATATTTCACCTTGAAGTGTTGTGAAATGTGATATAATTTTGCAGAAATGTCACCATAGGCACTTTTTCCAATGAGCCTTTTTTGGATTATACAAAAATGCTTTATTAGCTTAGCAACAAGCCAACA